GAAATGTACAACCCCACATCCCGTCTCAAACCAGGAAGTTAGCATTTTCTCGTGCACAGGGTCTATTGTCCACGGCTTAACTGAATCTTAAGGGGAGCTGGCATTCTGTTACATTTACACTGTGGGTCATGCTTCAGTCATACCACACAGATCATAACCTTTTCTTCTTGTTTATTCCTTGTTGTTTTACTGCTGTTCTAAGTGTTTAGCAAATGACACCTGGGTAAATAAAGTGACCGTGTCTGACAATAACACTATATTCTCCACGAGAATGCAGAGTTTTATTATTCCTGACAAAACAAGTCAAGTGGAGGGAGAGAAATGTGCTTCATAGTGTTCCTCATACCCGTGTTGGTCTTGCTGGGGTAGACCTTGTTGATAGGCCTGTACTCCTCTGGAGGTGGAAGGTCTTCAATAGGGTGGAAGTTGAACTTGGATTCAAAATCATCTGTAGGAGGAAGGAGAATAAACAAACGTTTTAAAATGTGCAGACACATCAAGTCACAAGTTTTAATTATTAATTGCATTTATTTTACAAAGAAAAGCCGATGGACAGTTTAAATGGCTTAAAACTTACGACTACTACTAACGCAAAATGAAAAAGTTAAATCTCAAACTTCTGTGGCTAAGAAATCATTTCCTAAACCAAAGTGTTGTAACAAATGCTTTAATGGATTTTTTTTACTGCTTGCATAACTCATTTGCAACAGTACTGATACACCCAGAGTAACATCATCTTCTCCTTCAGCTGACACACAACATAACAGATGTGAATAGTAGCATAACAGACTTAGTGAAGCATGTTAAAGGCTGACACCCCGGTGTTTATGACAACTTTTGTGAGGTCAGTAAAGCTCTTATTTTGAAAATACTGAGGTATTAAACAGCCATCATCATCAAATTTTAACCTGATCATCATAAACGTTGTTAATGAATTAAGATTATTTCATTCTTTTTTAAAAATGTGAAACAGCAAACATAGCACTGAAACAGAGATAAGCACAGTGCAAAAGAATAAAAGACAAACATGTTTTTCACGTGTGAGTCATCTATATAAGAGCGTTTCTACATCTATGTACCGTCTTTTCTCTCTTTTTTTAAAAGTTAACATTAATTAGCCAAAGCCACTAACTATCATTAATGTTGGCACTAGGCAGCAAAGATCAGTCCTGCTTGTTTTTACTGTTAATATATAGTGTTCATTTAACAGGATAATACAATAATTTGTGTCTAAATTATTGCAATTATTGTTATGTTTCTCCTAGAAAAACCGATGCCATGTTATTTTAAAGAAGGGGCTTTATTATGCCTTCTAGACCACTCACACTTGTTGTCTTTTTCTAACTGTATGTTCATGAACTTTAACATTTTGTAGCTCTCTGAGGCTTGTAGCGTCTGACGTGTCGCTCTCGGATTTGTTGCCATTTTTCTGAGCATTGCACAGTCTGAGTTTGGGGTGTACTTGCTAGCATGTCCCCTCCTGGGAAGATTGGTAATGGTGTTGAATGTATCCCAACCTGTGAATAATCTTGTTCACTGTAGAATTATGGACTTCAAATGATTTATAACCATTGCCAGACATTTCGAGGCAGCAACATTTGTTCCTCAATCATTATTAACGTCTTTCCTCCTTGGCCTCGTGTCACCACATACCTGAATGCTGCAAGCAAGCAAGCTGCAAAACGTTTGCTTCTACTGGTGAGCTCACACTGGCTGGTGATCAGATAATGAAGTACATTTGATAAGCCTTACCCTTTTCGTTCCTATAGAATTATTAGGGGTACACTTAGTTTAAAAAACAAACAAAAAAAAACACTGCTTCTGCAATATGGCTTCGTTTTTGTTACATAAATAATGACATTATGTAATATGAAATGTTTTGTAGCTCCTTTGAGGTTATATTCACATCATATTAAGCTCTGCTAAGGAACAGATTACCATTACATACATAAAGCCTAAGAATTGACAGAGGGAGTACTTTAAACCACCAGGCAAAAGTTTGCTTTTGTTTTTTTAATATCAAAAAAATAAACAAAAAACAAAACCAAAAAAATCTTTCAACCCCTCTCTCAAACAATTAGCTGATGAGCATGAAAGTTTTTACCCTATTCGTTCTTCTACCTTTGTATTATCAACAGAGCTGAGTCACATCTCAGTTTTTAGATTACAGCCACTACAGATCACCGGTACAACATCTTTGCCTTCCCTACAGCCACAAACTCCAACCATCAAGCCTAGACAACAAAAATAAATGGTACTTTTTTGGTTTGTCAAATGATAAAATAAGTCGTACAAGTTGCTTACTTCGTCTCAGCTCCCAGTTCTGTCAAACTGTGCACAAAAAAAGTCTTTCCTACAGGTTGATGATTTACTTCTTGTAGTGGTTGGCATGTCGAGAATTTACATTTATTCCCTAATCACCGGACATGCAAGCAATGACTGTTTATGCTCTCTTATGACATTTATTACTCAGTTTGAAAGAGTTGCTGAGGGACAGGATGACAAACTATCTTAGGCTATAAATCCCATGATCTGGATAATTCTCCCTTTATACAAATCACATAAATAGTGATTTGGTTTTATCATCATTTTTAATTCTTAAGTTTGACACAGGAAGTACACAAAGCCTCAGTAGTAATCTAGGAACCATAACTACCTTTTTGGTTTCCTGATGTGTGGACAAATCAGGAAACCAAAAGGGTAGTTTGCATAGCGTCAGGGGAGATTTGACTATCAACGGCGATTCGTCACCGTCACCTCCATCGCATCAAGATCATAAACAAAGTTGACTAGTTAAGCAGCAGAAAAAGTGGTAGCTATTTGTGTAAGCCTCAGCATTTCATCTCCTGTTTAAAAGAGCAGTCAGATCGAACCCCACATTCAGACAGGTACCAACACTTGGGGATGTAGTGTTGACACTCAGAGATATAGCTCAAGTTCAGTTTACTCACTGCACAGATGTACTGGTGGTGCCAGTAGCTCAGGTGGCAGAGCAGGTCAGCCACTA